AGTTGCTGGGCATGAACGATGCCAACTCCGTCTACGCTGGTTTGCAGTGCCTGCTGGCCATCTGCCGTGTATACCGATTTAAGGCCGGAGAGAAGAGGGAGGAATTCGATAAGATCGTCGAGCATTCGTTCCCTCAGCTGTTGAGCATCGGACTGAAGCTTGTCGATGAAGAGAGTCTGGAGGCGGCGGAAATGCTCCGCATCGTGGTCAAGTCCTACAAGCATGCTATCTACGTGGGTGAACCAAGAAGAGATGAAAGATCTCCAATCTGGGTGGCTTAATGAGACTAATGCGATGGTGGTATAGTTCGAACTCTCGCCGCACCTTCAAACACAACAAGCGACGGTGGATTGGTGCACGCTCTTCCTGCGTATCATCGCTAAGGAGCCTCCTGCCAGCGCCATGAACGAGTCGAAGGAGGAGAGAGAGCTCAACCACTGGTGGAAGTGCAAGAAGTGGTCGTATGCTAACCTGAACCGTCTCTTCATCAGGTATGTAGATTGCGCGCAGTGTATGCGTGGGGCATTCGTCTAATCACACTTCGCAGGTACGGAAACCCTACGACGATGAGCAAGTCGAGCACTCCCGACTACACCCAGTACGGCAAGGCTTTCATCACTACTTTCGCCCCCGAAATTCTCAAGGGATACCTGCAGGAAATCGACAAGTGGGTTTCCAAGGGACAGTGGCTCAGCAACCCCGCGCTTGCTTACACTATGATCTTCCTCGAGGAGTGTGTCAAGCCGAAGGCTATGTGGGAGCACCTGAAGCCTCACATGGACAACTTGATCGCTCACTTCATCTTCCCCATCCTGTGCCAGTCCGATGAGGACATTGAATTGTTCGAGACCGATCCCTCCGAGTACCTTCACCGCAAGTTGAACTTCTACGAGGAAGTTTCGGCCCCCGACGTTGCCGCTACCAACTTCCTGGTGGCCCTCACCAAGAACCGCAAGAAGCAAACCTTCTCCATCCTTACGTTCGTCAACAGTGTCGTGAGCAAGTACGAGTCTGCTCCCGATGACCAGAAGCTGCCCAGAGAGAAGGAGGGTGCTCTGCGCATGATTGGTTCTCTGGCTTCTGTCATCCTTGGCAAGAAGAGCCCCATTGCGGACCAGGTGGAATATTTCTTCGTCCGCCATGTTTTCCCCGAGTTCCGCAGTCCCCACGGTTTCCTCAGGGCTCGTGCCTGTGACACTCTGGAGAAGTTCGAAGCTCTGGACTTCCAGGATCCCAACAATCTGATGATCATCTACCGTAACATCCTTGAGTCTATGACTGACTCTGAACTGCCCGTCAGAGTCGAGGCCGCGCTCGCTCTGCAGCCCCTTATTCGTCACGATATCATCAGGACTTCCATGCAGCAGAACATTCCCCAGATCATGCAGCAGCTGCTCAAGCTCGCGAACGAGGTTGATGTTGATGCTCTGGCCAATGTGATGGAGGACTTTGTCGAGGTCTTCTCCGCCGAACTCACTCCCTTCGCTGTGGCACTCAGCGAGCAGCTTCGTGACACCTACATGCGTATCGTCGGCGAGCTCTTGGAGCGCAATGCGGCCAAGGGTGACGAGGATGCGTACGGCGATTTCTTGGATGACAAGAGCATCACCGCTCTGGGTGTCTTGCAAACGATCGGAACCCTGATCCTGACCCTGGAGAGCACACCCGACGTCCTTCTCCACCTTGAGACGATCCTCATGCCTGTTATCAGCATTACTCTTGAGAACAAGCTCTATGACCTTTACAATGAGGTCTTTGAGATCATTGACAGCTGCACTTTCGCTTCCAAGTCCATCTCTCCCACTATGTGGCAGGCCTTTGAGCTCATCCACAAGACCTTCAAGGCTGGCGCTGAGCTGTACCTGGAAGACATGCTTCCCGCCCTGGACAACTATGTTGCCTACGGCTCGCAAACGATGGTCCAGACTCCTGCTTACCTTGCCGCTGTTGTCAGCATGGTTGAGGACATCTTCCAAGATGAGAAGGTTGGCGGTGTCGATCGGATTTGCGGCTGCAAGCTCGCAGAGACATTGATGCTGAACCTCCGCGGTGGTATCGATCAATACATCCCCGTGTTCATTGAGCTGGCTATGCGCGTCATCGACGCCGGCGAGGCCCGGACGAAGTCGTACCGCATCCACTTGATGGAGATGGTCATCAATGCCATCTACTACAACCCCGTTCTCAGTCTTCAGGTTCTGGAAGCCAAGGGCTGGACGAACAAGTTCTTCAGCACTTGGTTCTCCAACATCGACAACTTCCGCAGAGTCCACGACAAGAAGCTGTCGATTGCCGCAATCAGCTCTCTGCTGACCTTGAATGCCAATGATGTCCCGGCTAGCGTGCAGCAAGGCTGGCCCAGATTGCTCCAGGGAGTGACCAGGCTCTTCCAGACCCTGCCGGCGGCCATCAAGCGTATGTTTTCTGAGCCTAACTATGTCAATATGTGTACTAATTTTGTTATAGATCGTGAGGATGCCACCAAGGAGTCGGACTTCACCTTCGATGAGGAAGAGGACGAAGGTGATGAGGAGAACGACTGGGATGGCGAGGTTGAGTGGACTGAGCAGGATGAGGCTGAGGCTCTCTTGGAGGGCGATGTCCCCGATGACAGTGCCGCTTACCTTGATTTCCTTAACAAGGAGGTGAGTTATATTGAATCGGGATTCGGTTGATCACCATTGACACATTATATAGGCCCAGAAGTTCGGCTCTTTTGCCGATGAAGACGAGGATGACCTTGATGAGGAGAGCCTGCTGGAGACCCCTCTGGACAAGGTTGAGCCTTATGGCATGTTCAAGCACGTTCTTATGAGTACGTCCATGTTCGACTGTTTGGAGTGTACGGCCACTGACAATGAAACAGGTCTCCAACAAGAACAGCCCCAGCTCTACGAAAACCTTGCGAAGATCCTGAGCCAAGAGGAACAGCAAGTTCTCCAGTCCGTGTTCCACGAGGCTGAAGCGAAGGCTTTGGCGGCGGCCAACGCCGAGGCGGCTGGTGTCCAGACCAATGGGAACTAGAAGCGCTACGATGAACCCGGAGGGCTGACGAAACGAGCCAGTCGGTCTCTTCGAGGCAACGAAGATCGCAACGAAATTCAAAAAAGAAGAAAAAGAAAAATGCCATCCCAGGTTGGATGTCTGTTTTGGCAGGCTTGTAAATCTTCACATCTGTCGTGGCGACGGCTAGTGTTGTCGAGCGGCCTGCTGGATACGTTATAACGCCATCTATGCCTTTTCTTATTTTCTTTTCCTTTGTCATTTAGAACAATTTCTTTTTTCTGTCTCCTGTTCCGTTGACGTTTTTACTAACCCTCTGGTGATGTCCCCGGTTATTTTCCCAAAAGTTCCTTTTACCCCCCCAATGTTCGAGTGCAGTGGTGCTGCAAATCCGAAGAGAATCGATTCCCCCCAATTAATCCTGTCAATTGACTTATGGTTATGATGTTGGACAACGTGAAGGCTATATTTATGCATTCTCCCAACCTGCAGCTGAGTATGAATGATCAGTGCTCTTTGTATGGTGGCCGATGGGCAGCGCGTGCTTTTTTGCAGTAATCGGAGTCCGTGCCTTGTGAGGCATCTAGAAATGTGTAAATACTGTGATACTCCTGTGAATGATTGCCATTTGGCTTAGCATGAAGCAAGTTGCTCTTTCAAAACCTGCGATATAAAGCTACTGGCCTTTCAAATTCTTGGCCATGAAACTACCCGCCAGACAGATGTTAGAAGTCTATCTCTACTACATAGTGGCCCAAGGGGGTTCAGCTGTCAGGCTTTTACAAACGGTGCCATACATGTATTGAATTTTCTTGAAAGCGGTGAACTGTTGTCTTTATTTATTGGTTAATTCCAAGCATAGTTAGATCTTATCACATTATAGTTCCAAAACAGTCATGATGATCTCGCCAGCACTATATCCTCCTACTGACATAGCTACATAACATTAATGCATTCAAACCATGATAGCTTGATATTAAGAGACCTGTTGTTTTTGATAACTATTAACTAATAAAAACTAGGCATGTTACTAGCTCTACTGGTATGAGCCTCACAGACTTACGTAGAATAGTCACTAGCAGTAAATATATACATCCAGGGTCTTCATTAATATATATATTTGTTCATCCTACTTACCAACACAGCAATATTTCGGTATGACTACAGTACGTAGATCTCGCAGTCCAACCATACATCACAACTTTCTCTTTTGTAAGGCAAAGCCAGAATCATCAAACAAAAATACTCTCCCACAGGGCCTTATGCCGATTAACCATCACAGAAATCCACCATATTATTTCCAGGGCCCCTGGATGCCATTACATAATCATCTTCATCACGTGAACCACAATCAAGGAAATGACATCATCGCCTCCAAGACCGATCATCTTCATCGATTGATCATTGCTTGAAGCTGCCATTCAATATACAATAGAATAGCATTCTAGCTGTCCTAATACTCAGATTAGATAAACAGAGACATTTAACACTAAGTCTTATCAATAATAGACATACTATGTACAAACCCCCCCCCCCCCCCCCCACACGATGAAACAAAAATATCTACGTAACCACCATTTCTACAAAGCCATCGATCCCATCACCCATTTTACACGTCATGATGATGTTTCCCAGAACCACTTCCATCCACTTTATCCACCACCCCCCCAATGCAAATTACCTTGACTGGCCTGGGTTTATATCATAGCTGACTGAAGTTGGAAAATCTGGACCCTGAGTGAATTGATATTTAAACCCTTTTTCTCTCGTTCCAATTCTTTCCCATATCTATCTATCTACTTACCTACATACATACATACAAACTTCCTATCTACTTGAAACTCATACCTCCTACAACATACTGTAAGTCCCCCTCCTCCCCCTCTCTTTCCACTCCCCATAATAATATTCAAAACCCTAACAACTCACTCCAGTCTTCCCAACAACCAATCGACCAAATAACGAAAGGGAATAGAAGAAAAGAAAAAAAAAAAAAAATGTCCGCCCCCAACCCCGGCCGCCAATCCCCCTCTCCCGAGCGCCAATCCGGCGCCCAGCAACAGGACCCTCCCTCGCAGGGCAAAGCCCAGCCTCAATATGCGCCGCCCGAACACGAAGTCCAAGATCAGGCAGCCCAGACGGCTGGTTTGTCGAGTAACCCCAAGCATCCGTTGGAGGATATAGAGAGTGCGAAGTTTTCGAAGGGGGGTGTTGCCTAACCCTTTTTTTTCTTTTTCTTTCATGTTTTAGGGATGATGGGGGTTAAAGAATCCGGAAGTGAAATGTATTTATGATATGGTTATGATATGATATTATTTTTTATGATCTATTTTCTTTTTATGGGGTTCGATAGTGTAGTGTATTGTAGTGTTACTGTAGTGTATGTAGTACGGTATAGTATTGGGATGAGTGAAATGAGTTATTTTTTGAGGTTGTGTTGTTGGGTTTACTAAAGAGGAATATGGAAGAGGGGAGAGGGGGATGGCATCAAATTGGATGGTATTGGTATTGAGGTATCGCTTGTTCCAGACAGCTAGCTATCGCAAAAAGAAGATGTTTGTCACTGAAGCATTACATGAACTGAATAAAGGTCAAGTCATTATGGCATACAGACAGAAACCACACCCTCGTTGCTCATTACCCCTAATCCTGTTTTCTTCGGGATTTCCAATTGACATTTGGTTTGCTTACGCCTGCTCAGCAGGAGCAGCAGTACCCGCCGGCTGAGTAGCAGGTGCCGTACTAGGGACAGGAGCCTCACCACCCTCAGTGGTGGTCTTGCCGCTCTTCAAGTCCGCAAGTCTGCGAGCCTCATTGTGGATATCCTGCACCTGCTTGTTGGTCTGGGAGTAAAAGTCCCGCAACTTCCTGCCAGAGGGAGTGTCGAGGGCCTTCTCGAAGTAGTGGTTCAGATTACGCCAGCCAGTGGTCGCCTTGTCGCTGAGCTTGTAGTTCTCGTCCAGACCACGAGCACGGTCCGTGGCGTGGTACTTCTGGTCGAAGGTGGACAGAGCGCTGGTAAAGCGCGACGAGAACCCGTGCTTGTTGTCCAGGGCGATGGCCTTCTGGATGGCAGTGTCGCTGAGGGTGTAGCCGTGGGCCAGGTACTCAGCTACAATACGAGAACGGGGCTTGTCCTCCTGCTCGAGGTCGTGGTTGTGCTCGTCCTTGGCCTGTCCGGCGCTGGCGGCCTGGTCGCCGGCGATGTCGTCAAGGGTCTGAGCTGCCTTGACGTGCACAAGGGAGGAACCAAGCTGGGTGTTGTCGAGAAGGAGAGCGGTCTTAGCAGCACTATTGCAGGGGATATTTGGTTAGCTTTGATACTCTGGGAGGAGGGAGAGGCAGTTGATGGTGTCATTTGGCGACAATGACGGACGGGTAAGGTGCGGGGTAACTTACGCTTCCTTTTCGAAAGTGACGGTGGCCGACTTTTGGGCTTCAGCTTCGCCTGAAACGGGGGTAACGGAAATGTGGGTAATCTTTCCGCTGTAAGGTTGTCAGCTGTGCAGTTCATGCAAGGGGTGAGTTTGAAATGCCTGCATTGCATACCAGAAGCTAAAGAAGTCCTGGACCTCCTTGTCGGTGGTTGCGGACGCAATGCCCTCGACGTGGACAGTGGAGCGTTCAGACATGATGTGTGAGGTGAGTTTTGGAAAAAGGTAGAGAGAGATAGATAGATGTAGGTAGTATACTATTGAGAGAGTAGAATTTTAGATCTGAAGAGAAAAGAGAGAAAGGAGGAAGAAGAGGAGAGCTGTTATTTAAAGAAGACTGGACTGGACAATGTTTCGTGTTTAGGGGGCGGGCCTGGAGGCGCCACAGATGACGTCGCGAGGGGCAGCCAGTCTCGCGCACAGCCACAGTGGGCCACGGCCGCGTTGGCCATTCAAAGACAACATGTGAAAGTGGGAGGGAGAAGTGCAGAGTTGAAACTGAAACATTCTTAGTGTTACCATCTTGGACTATGATCTATCTAGATGGTACCAGTGTCTTCTCCCTATAGGTCCGCCCTGGCAGGCAGTAGCATTTTCCCCAGAGGCCCAAAGCGTCTAATAGCAGAAGCAAAAGCAAAGCCGGAAAAAGAAAACCGAGATGTGCGCCCGAACAACCTAGCAGTAAAATAATAAATCTGACCCAAAAAATAGCAAAGCAAAGCGAATAAAATAACGGCTGAAAGATCCTGCTTTCCGTAATTCATCCATAGCACCCAACCTATAGCCAAAGAAGCTTTTAGACATCTCCATCTCATTCCTTAGTCTCCGTACCGGATGGCTCTTTTGAGTCTGGGGTAGGTGTAGATGGGGAGTTGTCGTCTCTCAGATGAGAAGGAGTCGACTCCTGTAATTGAATCTTTGAGATGACAGACTCAAGGTCTCGCACACGTCGGCGTAGCATCTCGTTCTCGCGTTTGAGCGAATCGACTTCTCCGCGCTGCTGCAGAACCTCTTCATGGCGGCTTGTAAAATTAATACTGGGCGTCTTCTGCTGGGACAGCGAGCTGCGGTGCGGATAGCTGCCCGCAAGATGGGCTGGGTGGTCAGTCGGTTGTGTCTGATGATGAGATCCTGGCGTTGATGGCAACGCCCCTTCCGATTGTCGATGAGAGGTGAGCGATGATTCCCTGCTTCGGCCCGGTCGCGAGGGATCAGGACGGGTCGAAGGAAGATATGTCTCTCGCGCAGGAGCAATGCCGGAAACACTTCCCGCTCGCGAGCCTTGCACCGCTGGGATGTAGGAGGAGCTCAAGCTGGAGGATGAGCGGTGTCTTCGCGATGATGTGGGATGCGCAGTGCTGATCATGTATGGCGATGCATGGAGCCCATCTACCGAGTCGTTAAGGGTGGTGGATGTCGAGGAGGCTGTCGATGCGACCGAGTTCGTTTGTTGACGAAGGAGGGAAAGCTCTCGCGACAAGCGATTTACCTAGAGTAGGATAGAGTAAGCATAGACTCAATCAAGGAAGGATTTAACGTGTCGTACCATTGCCTCCTGCTCTTGCTCGAGCATTGAATGGATATCGGAAGGAGTGAGCGGTTTGGGATGACGAAGTGGACCTTGAGCTAGTCAGTTCAGTTTCTCTCCAGCTTTCTTTGTCTGCATGGTCATTGGCTTACCCGACGTAGACATGTTGTTTGTCTGGTCGCTGACGGTTGGGATTGCAGCTGTATGAGTGCTCGGTAGAGATGCAGCGACTGAAGGAGCCATGACTTGCGACGAGCGACGTGAGGATAATGTCGACGCGGTGGTCGGTTGCATTGTTGTGGCAGCCCGAGGTCGTAATCTGGGAGAAGAAAGAGAACCGGGGTTTAGTCCGGACGCCATGTAAACTAATCTTTGAAGGAAGATGCAGGACGACCAAGGGTTTTGACTGGTGGGATGGACGAAGTAGTCCCTGAACTGATAGGTATAATCCGGCGGAGACAGTCGTCTTTCAGGTTCGTTTCGTTAGTTTGTCGGTGGGGAGGGAGTATGGATGCTGGGGGAAGACCGGAGGACACCAAGAAGCAGCAGCAGCACTACCACTCACTCTTAACTTCTTACTACCGACAGACTAATATTAATTTTTGGCAGACCACCGATGAAGCACAGGCTGCAGCTCCCCCCCTTGATTGGACTGACTGGAATTTTAAAGCATACCAACCACTGAGCCACCACTGAATTGTGCGCGAATTCTCCAGCTGAATGGAGCCGACATGCATGGAACCTATCATCCATCCTTTGTCAGTTCCTAGCTTTGCTAGTTGCTTTTGCTTCACGCTCGGCCGGATGGACCTGGGGCCGCTCCCCGGGAGTCCAGAGCTTAATTATCTGTCCGAGGGAGCTTTAGCCAGTCTTTTGATTCTGAATGCACAGAACAGGGGTGATCCGGCTGGAAGATTGAAGTTTATATTTGGATCGGAAATCCCGCCAATAGTCTAAGGGAGGCGATGTTGGCGCAACAATCTTGGTCGTTGTCCCACATCCACCGTTTCCCCGATTCTCTCATCATGGCACAGCAGGTCGTAATCTGAATTCATCTGACCGCATAATTATGTGCACACTAACGCTGTCTGTCTGCTATTTTCTTTTCCCGCTCTACCGCGCTATCCTACTCTAGTCAGCTCAGTCGAGATTGGCTCGGCATTCTTCCTCACATGCATGAGTTTCTACCTACTATGTACTAACTCGTCTATACATAGAGCTAAGGCGGAGTCCCCATCCTGAGGCTAGAGTGAGGCCCACTCTAAGGCATCGCTTGAGCTGCTCTGTCAGATTTCTCTCAATGCAGAATCATCAATGCGATGGATTCTTCTTTGCTAGTATTTATAGGCACGCGATTCTTAAGGTCTACTGACTGTATTAGTGCGCACTCATCAATATAATCCACTAAGCCCAGCCTGGGTTATGCAGAATTGCCAATCGTGGGCATGCACATCATACATGCCTGCCAAACGGTGCGCATATGATATACTCATGTGTACTGCGTACAGAGCATGTCTAATCACCAGTATGGAGGTAATGCCCATAAAGTCGACATCATCGTACTTGGTCGAGATCATATGCTGGAGTAATGTAATTGTTTCAAGTGGGACTCTTCCCCCATGCGTGCCCGGCCAATGCGCCAAAAGCGGCACCGCGTCGGGCCGAATCAACACTGTAAGGCGGGTGCTCCAGTATCCGCGTCTCTGCAAAGACTAGCGCATCCTACAAACACCGCGCCTACTAACACTCTGGTCTCATGTTCCTGTTCAATGACATGAGTCACGCGACACCCACCCATATCACCTCAATTGCCAGATCTATGAGGCTTACGTCAGGTACTGTCAAGGTGTTCTCTGGATCTGATAGGCCTTGATTATCTGCCTTGATTCTCGGAGAATTGACCCTGAGCCTCTGAAAATACCAGTGTCAACCCGGTGTCTTATTAAGAATTTTTCACGAAGTAGTCATTGACTTGAAGCAGATCCCGCCAGAGTTGACAGGGCCGCGAAAACAATACCAGAAAGCGCTGCGAGCGAATGTGTGCCTGCGAGGAAAAACACCAGTTGGTTGTGGAGAACGCCACTATAAAAATGAGAAGAGCAAACTAAAAGTGGTAGGATTATCGGTGGATTCGCTGTTGGGATTACAACTATATCCTCGGACTCCGCAATCGTCGGCAGGATGCAAAGTCTAGACAATATTTTTCAACAGGAAACGGTACGGAATGCACGGCAGCTGGTGGAAGACGTATATTATATACTCAACCAAGACCTGGAGGATGCTTCATATAACCGGGAAGATGAATGAGAGAGAACGACATCTGGGCGTCCAAGGCACGATAATCCGAGTCACGGACCTAATTTTGGCGGATCCAACTGCCAGCCAAGGGTCCATGTGTTGAATTACATGGTCAAGTGGCTGATGGGAGTTGATCGACTATGTAACCCCAACTACGTAGCTTGGAAGCGAGGACGTACATACTTAGCAACAGGTTGAGACTAACATACATAGGCTAAATTAATGTTGACACTACTGAATAGAGTTGAGTTGGAAGGCTCAGATGCCGATGACTCACGGCATAAGTGCTCCTTTTATCAAGGAACCATAGACGAACAGTGGAAAGCGTTTGGATGGGCAGGAGGTGTATTCCGGCGCGTGGAGACCCTCCGAAAGCCGGTGTTGGCCTGGTGAAATGGGATTGGCGCAGTAGCGAGCATTGCAGGCTGGGCGGACACTAGATAGGCATGGATCTGCTTGACGAACCATTTAAAATTTCCTGGAAAATGAACAACGATGAACAGACGACGGAGTCATGATCTGCCTAGGAGAGCACTGGTGGTCCGTTCCCTGGCAGGGAGTTGTGAGTCAGACAAGCTTTGGCAGGGGGTTGTCTAATAGCAATTGAATAATGATTATCCTATAATAACGCTTTACAGCTGGGATCGCAGCCCCTGGACAGCTGAGAAAAGACTGGGACGGGCTATCAAGTCAGTAAATTAGTGATCGGTATTGCTAACCGCCGGCTCCATTTCTGCCACTACTGCCGCTAGTCACCACTTAGTCACCACTTAGACTTGGCCCCGAACCTGTTAGCCTGCAGTTCCCCATGCCCTCACATTGGCTGGTAGCCTAGGCGGTGAGTGATCGGGCCGGTCTTTTGGGGGAATTCTGGAGTCCCAGCGATCCAGAGGGCCAACTGAAAGGGGAAAAGAGGGAAAAAAGGGCTCCGCACACCGGAGCTCTTATCGGCCCTCCCAAGGTTGGGGAATCTTTTTTTTTCAATGCAAAGTCGGAAGTCCCATTGAAACTCCTGGTCGGTCGGCAGCCCGCGCTCCATTTTGGCTGGTTCTTGGTCTCCAAAAAAAAAAGGGCCGCATTGACTCATCGCCGTTTCCCGCACCTTTTCTTTACTTCTTCGTTTCCCGTCCCCTCTCCATCTTCTTTAGCCATTTCTTCCTTCACTCTAATCCTCTCCCAGAATCCAAAAAAAAGGTCCGCCTGGCCAATTCATCTCCCTTTAAGTCCTCCCCTTTGGTCGTGGGCGTGTGGCATAAAGTGGAATACACCAGGAACTCAATTGCTTGGCCTTTGCAGGGAAATTAGAAAATTCCCACAGAGCCGGACCAAAAGCGGAGTCTCCAGATTATCCTCTCCGGAACTCTGCCAGGCCATAAAGTAGAGAGTGTGCGTCCTCTCAATTGACTCATCTCTTTTATTTTCCCACCTCTCTCTCTTCCCTGTCCTTTCAGCTACCAGCGCAGAGCGCAATGGTTCTCGCTACTCGTTGCGGGCAGGCTACGTCCGCCCTCCTGCGTCAGCGCTGTCTGGCGGAGTCTCGTCGCTCCGCCCTCGCTTTGCGCCCCTTCTCCTCCCAGACCACCGCTCACTCGACGGCTTCGAGTCTCAGATTGGCCAAGGCCCCTTCTCCATGGCGACCGCAGCAGCTGCGCTCTTTCTCTAGCGCCCTTCGTCGCTTGGCTTCCGAGACCTCCAACGCTCCCTCCGCTGACAGCTACCTCGCCAGTGGACTCGTCAAGCCTGGCAGCAAGTTGGTCGATGTCAAGAAGGTCCTCGTTATCGGTAGTGGTGGCCTGAGCATTGGTCAGGCCGGAGAGTTCGACTATTCCGGTAAGTTGGACGAGTCGCTGAACCTTGGCTTTCCCATCATGATTTCTCTGCTCCTTTCCCTGGTGTTTCGCGATCAATTGAGCGATGACTATATGGGGTAAAGAAAGGAATTTGATCTAATTAATTGGTCAAGGTAATTTGGTGAGACAGTTGCTAACTCTAATTTTCTTCGATAGGTTCTCAGGCTCTCAAGGCCCTTAAGGAGGCCGGTGTCCAGTCCGTCCTGATCAACCCCAACATTGCGACGATTCAGACCGATCACAAGCTCGCGGATGAAGTGTACTACCTCCCCGTTACCCCCGAGTATGTCACCTATGTCATTGAGCGGGAGAGACCCGATGGTATCTTCCTCTCTTTCGGTGGTCAGACCGCCCTGAACTTGGGTGTGCAGATGAACCGCATGGGTATCTTCGAGCGCTACGGTGTTCGCGTTCTGGGAACCAGCATCAAGACCCTGGAGACCAGTGAGGACCGTGATCTTTTCTCCAAGGCCCTGAACGAGATCAACATCCCCATCGCCGAATCCATTGCGGTCAGCACCGTCGACGAGGCCCTGAAGGCTGCTGAGACTGTTGGATACCCCATCATCGTCCGTTCTGCCTACGCTCTGGGTGGTCTGGGTTCCGGTTTCGCTGCCAACCCCGAGGAGCTGAAGAACTTGTCCTCTCGCTCCCTGACTCTTTCTCCTCAGATTCTGGTCGAGAAGTCTCTCCGTGGCTGGAAGGAAGTCGAGTATGAGGTTGTCCGCGATGCTGACAACAACTGCATCACTGTTTGCAACATGGAGAACTTCGACCCCCTTGGTATCCACACCGGTGACAGTATCGTCGTTGCTCCCAGTCAGACCCTGTCTGATGAGGAGTACCACATGCTCCGTACCGCTGCTATCAAGATTGTCCGTCACCTGGGTGTCGTTGGTGAATGTAACGTTCAGTACGCTCTGCAGCCCGATGGCCTTGACTACCGTGTCATTGAGGTCAACGCTCGTCTTTCTCGTTCCTCGGCTCTGGCCTCCAAGGCCACCGGTTACCCCCTGGCTTACACTGCTGCGAAGATCGGTCTGGGACACACCCTCCCCGAGCTTCCCAACGCGGTTACCAAGACCACTACTGCCAACTTCGAGCCCAGTCTGGACTACATCGTCACCAAGATCCCCCGGTGGGATCTGAGCAAGTTCCAGCATGTCAACCGCGACATTGGCAGTGCCATGAAGTCCGTCGGTGAAGTCATGGCTATCGGTCGTACCTTCGAGGAGTCTTTCCAGAAGGCTATCCGCCAGGTTGACCCCCGCTTCGTTGGCTTCCAAGGTGACCACTTCGAGAACCTCGACGAAGTCCTGAAGAACCCCACCGACCGCCGCTGGTTGGCTGTTGGCCAGGCTATGCTTCACGAGAACTACTCCGTTGACAAGG